ACTTCTTCCCCCACCCATCACCAGATAGTACGTTAGAAGTAAAAACATAAACTTGGAATAAGGGAGGGGAGTTTAACGAGGGTCTAGGTAGGGTTACTAGAACCTGCACCATCACACTGTCATCATGAGGGAAGGCACCTAAGTCTGACAAAAGGGGCCGAGGGCAAGATGTCCAATATATATGGGTGACACCCAATGCACTATTGAAATGGAGACTCAGATGAAGAAGGTACTTGATCTTATTTATTCAAAATCAGTTGGCCTTTCAAGAGCAGAAGATGAGAGAGTTAGGGGAGAGACTGTTAAGTTAGAAAGGTTATCAAACCCTTCTCTATCCTGGATCTCCACTGTGGCTATGCTACCAAGGAAAGAGAGAGCAGGGTGTATCTTGTTCACCTTTTGTTCCCTGTTCCCCCAAATGTACCATAAAAAGTGGCTAGAACAGGTGTGTTGTATGTTGAATAAAGGGAGTATTCAGATTTTCCTCCCTAGCAATGTGTCAGGAAAAAAAATGAGAGGAACATCTTGTTTGGTTATTTTTATTGTGGGCCCTTAACAAGATTTTTGAAGCCAGCGGTGACTCATTAACTTCTTTTCACATGGCTGATGCCATCCATTGCAGAGTAGACCAGGATCAATGATCAGATTGTTCCGGACTTGACATCATCTGGCCTCAGAGGTCAGCGGCAGGCACAGAAATCATTGTGATTTACAGGGAGGAGGAGGTAAGGGAGGAAGCTCTGACAGAATGAGTCTGCAGCTCTAACCCAGCAGTGAGCTCAGAGAGTGGTTGCTGTTACTTGTTCCAATGTGTTTGAAGAAATCAACCAGGTCCAGAACAAAACAGAACCTCCTTTGCAAAATGATGTCTCACGTTGGAAACATCAAATTATCTGAGAGTCGAGGATTTGTGGGTGGGCTGCTGGAATTACATGAGGACGTCACGTCACAGGCTTCTTGGCAGGAGGTAGAGAGGGATTGTAACCACGGACTTGTGGTTTGGAGTTTTTGCCAAATGGCTCCTGTTTCCCCAAAGAGTACTGTATTTGGGAACCGTTCAACGTTTTCCCACTTCTCAGCCACACCAGTGTCAGTCACCTCAGAATGTTTAATGCTTTGGCATAAGAAATGGCTGAGGTGGCCCCCATTACCTCCTGTCTTGACGTCAGTGAGGGAGTCGTTCCCTCTGGTTGTCTTACGTGAAATAGTTTAGCGTTTGCACTTCAATTAAAACTCACAGGTACATATTATTAAATGATACTAACTCATTCATGGCTTCTCTTGAGTAAGGGCCAAAAAATGTTACATATGCGTTAATGATGACGAGCGCATTAAAACTAAGATTTCCTGGTCAAACAATTTATAGTCAGGGCTGTGAGGAAAGTACTTCGCACATTCAGAGTATCACTTTATCCTGTGCCAGTCTTTTCTGAAGAAGAGATTTAAGTTCAAGCTTCTTTCTGCCTTTGAGGGAGAGAAAAATGATACCTGACTAGAATCCTCTTCACTTTTGTGAGCTTTATAAAGCAGGGCCAGGCCTCAGGTATGACCCAAAAATGGGGCTGAATCAAATTGGATGATGTAACCTGTATTTACTGTATCTTGGAGGAGAGAAGGGGAAATATGCCCCCATGCATCACTCAACAGGAAAATAAAATAGTAGAAAAAGTTTTCTTGATTTTATAAAATCAAACTTTTTTCTTCATATTCATTTGTTATTTTATATCTAATGCACCTAGGAGGAGCATGGCCAAGGAAGGAATAACCCTGGTGTTTTGTTCTCCCATCTAGCCCAGAAGAAGACTGTGCTTCTAGGTCAGACAGAAATGCTCCCAGCTGGGTGACCACAGGTGATCATCACACATCACTTTCTCCATTTCCTCCTCTGCAAAGTGGGCATCGTATTCCATGCCCAGAATACCTCCTGGGGCTCCTAGTGTATGAACATGCTCTGTGTTATAAGCATTCGATACAATATACAGGTGAAAATAAAAGCTTTGCGATGCAGGCTTTTTACACAAAGGAGGGATAGTCACAGAGGAAAATGGTAGTTCCCCAGTGGTACAGATGAAGAGTACTAGTCATAAAAACTGGGCTTCTTATCCTGGGCTGACTCAAGCACAGACAGCACTTTTGTGTGAATTAGGAAAAAACACCCTTTCTGGACAGACACAGCCCTGCAGGTCCATAAATTGGTGAGCAAGTACCATCTTTGACCAAACAGAAAGAGGCATCTCTTCCTCTTGTGGACAAAGCCTTGTGCCAGGATTTTAGCCCCATGTACTCATCCCCCAGGCATTCTTGCACAACCAAATTCAACAGTACTGGCTTTAGCCCTGGCTCTGCCTACTCAGATTCTATAACAATCAGATCATCTTTCCTCCCTCTGAGCCTCAGTTTCCACCCAAAAAGAAAGATGGAATTGAATTGTGATTTCTATGCCCTCCTTCAGCTCTAAAAGCTACAAAAATTCTAATGAGCCTTTCTGGCCTTCTGCACAAAGGATCATATAACACACAGACTGAAATTTCTGAGCTTTATTTTTTTAAAAAGTCATCTGATGACACTCCCTAAATAGTCTGAAAGAAATGATGTATGGTTTGATGTGGAGCAGATTAAAAAACAAATGCTTTAGTATATACACGATGTTCTGGGTGTAAATCAACATGGGTAGCCTGCAAAACAAGAATAACCACCCTGTGTTGTTAGAGAACGGCACAAGATGTGGATCTAACACAGGGACATCTATTGAGGCTTTCACCCACTTTCTGTGGGACTTAATATCAGAATCAGTGCTGAAGTCTTTCTCCCTCCCGGAGTGCCCAGTGCACCTAGGAAGCAGAACGACAAGGAGCCAATGACTGTTGATGCCTTGTTGCCAGAAAACAGAAATTAGATCCTTTCTCAGATCCTCCTATCAGCAAATCTGAGTGCCAGCAAGCTCTAGCCTGTGGGAGAGCAAACAAATAGCAATCTACCTTTTTGAAAGCTCTTTTTGCCCTAAAATTGGGTTTAAGATTTTAAAATCACATACACACATAATGAACTCATTCAAAATTCTCAAAATGTTAGCAGAAATAAATTTGGTCATATTCATGAATATCTCTAAAATTAGTTTTGGTTTTTATTTGTTTTTTATTTTGAGCAAGAGGGAGGACTTCTGAAAACAATCACATTAAACTATGTCATTTTCAGAGAAGGAAACTGAAGCCCAGAAGAGGAAAGACAGTAGCTCCGGCTCACATGGCAAGGCATATTTGATAGGGCTGGAGTTATAATCTAATGCTCTTTCCAGTCTCCTCTTTCCCTTGATGAAAATGCAACCAGAAAGTTTGGTGGAATATAGATGGCACATAAATCACTGTAACTCAATTTTTTTGGTTTCAAAGGATGAATGTTCTTACTACTGACCAGGATCTTAAATGGCAAAAGATTTTACCTCCCCCGCTGGCTGTCTTTCTGATCTCCCACTGGTTAATAGGTTAGAACAACCCCAGACCCAGTGAACAATATCTTTGTAGTGTCCTCCTTAGAACTGGGACTAAGAACCAGGCATTCTCTGGCTCAACACCCCTGTTTGCTAACCATCATCTCCGCTTCTTCAACAGCTGTGTCCCCACCTCTCTCGAATCCCCAAAGTACCGGATCCCAGCAAAACTAGACATTGCCCCTAGGTTGTTCAAAAGCTCCTGTGGGATCAAAAAACCATTATTTGTATACACAAGGAGTGCAATGCGCACCACCCGAAGGATGGACATATTTGTAACACGGACTTGGGGGGGGACCAAGGGCAACATATGTAACCTAAACATCTGTACCCCCATAATATGCTGAAATAAAAGAAAAAAAAAACATTCTGTAAAGATAAACCAAACATTTAGGAGAAGAAAAATCAATGCCAGATATTAAAATAAGGCTCCCTTTATTAAACAAATCAGACGTGAGCATGAATCTGTGTGCTGGACAGCAGCAATGAAGAGCGCTGCCAAAACATATGCAGATGAAAATCAATTGGAAATTTATTTTTCTTATTTAAATACAAAACACCCCATTTCACTAGTGGATGTCACTCACAGGAGACCCGGCAATGGTGCCCTGATCTAGGTAGTAGTAAAGATGTTCTTGCAAAGTCACTGGGTGAAGAGTCATTCTACTTCAACCTCCACGTGAACTTTCAAAATCTACAACTCACAGGACAGTCTTTTCTGGAGCACTGTGGAGGGTGAATTGAAGCTTCCAGTGTAAGTTTATTCCCTGGTGAAAACACCAGAGCCAAACACTCCACCAAGGCCCTGGAAAAACTGAAGGCCCCTCTGTCTTATGCAGTTATCATCAGGGAAATATTTTTTTCCTGAAGCCTAGATGGTCTTTATGCTGGTGATAAAGACTGGCTGGGGCAGTGCGGACTCGGCCAGGGGCTCCTCAGACCCGAAGCTGAGCTGACTCCGGGTCAGCGCTCACGGCCGTCAGCACCGTGAGAGGATGGGAATGAAAGGCTAACAGCCGGAGAGGCCTTCTAAGACCAAATCACATGCTGGCTAGAACTGGAGGAGGCACGAGAGCTGTAGCTGCACAGTTTCACCAAGGACAAGCTTATTCTCTCTGTTTGAGGTTTTGGATCTGCAGCAAATTAAGAGTGTGTGAGAGAGAAAGAGAGAGAGAGAGAGAGAGAGAGACAGTGTGTGTGTGTGTGTGTGTGTGTGTGTGTGTGTGTGTGTGTTGGAGAGCAGTGACTGGGCTTTAATAAATAAACTGATAAAAAAAAAACAAGAAAGAGCAGGGCATGGTGGCACATGCTTGTGGTCCCAGCCACTCAGAAGGCTGAGGTGGGAAGATGGTTCAAGCCTAGGAGTTTGAGGATGTAGTGAGCTATAATCACACCTGTGAATAGGCCTGGGCAGCATAGCAAGACCCCATCTCTAAAAAGATGAGGGGAAACCCAAGAAAGGTAGACTAAGTGAGGCATAGCAAGTGTCCTTAGGAAAAGAAGGGAGATCTGATGACTCGTATTAACCTATTAATTTATACCACGGCTCTGTACAAAAATAAAAAGGTTCTCATAAGATTAACAATTTAAATAAATATTTGATAGAACATTCTTTCTCATTTTATAGCTCATCTTTAGGGTTGATATTCAGTTCATGCTTCCCTTGCTGTTCTTGATCCAGGATTGCAATAACTTCATCGGCCTGTATTCGCTCCTGCAAAAAAGACAATTTACACATTTCTGTTACAAGCATAATAATCAGTCCCAGCAGCAGCTGCTTCCCAAACACTTCCTGGCATCCATCTGTACATGGATTGGTGCTAAATCCAGTTAAGAATTGAACCTCATCTTCATTCCCAGACTGGTGCCTTCTCCTGACCTGCTATGTCCTAAGCAATTACTCTCCAGGATTTGTCTCTTGCAAAGCAGTATTGTATGTGCAACTGCTTACAACTCTTTCTACTTCATGGCCTCACAGACATCTCCAACTCAGTTCACTGTTCAGATTAAATTCACCATTCTGTTCCCTATGGACCTACTCTGTCCTTCACATGGTCTCTCTTTCAGTGAAGACCGACACTGCTTCCCCTTTGCCTTAAAAGCTTGACCATGGTTTCTTGCATTTGATGTCACTTAGTCCTCTCTGTTCTGTCTCCGACTTCTGCCCCTTTCCCTTCAATGCACGTTACTGTTGCCTTAGGGTGGGCCAGGGCTTCCCAGCCTTGGCACTCTCGACATTTTAGACCAGGTAATTCTTTGTTGTGAGGGGCTGCCCTGTGCATTGTAGGATGTTCCACAATATCCTTAGCTTCTCTGCCTATCGCAGGTAGCCAGTAACACCTCCCCCGAAATTGTGACAACCAAAAATGTCTCTAGCTTTTGACAAATGTCTCCTAGAGGGCAAAAGTGCTCCACTTTGAGAGCCGCTGGTTAAAGTTATCATCATCATCATCTCTTAACCCAATTGCTGCAGCAGCCTCCACCCCGATCCCCCGGTTTCGCTACACACCCCCATGCTTCTGAGGAATCCTGCTCACTGTGGTCTGACCATGTCACTTTCCTGCTCACAACTCTTTACTGGGTTCCCATTGCTTGAAGTTTCAGGTCCAATATTCTCAGTGTGCTTATAAGGAGTTGCCTGATTCATATCTTTCTCTCTTCTTTAGCCTGATTTTGTCTTTTTCCTTCTTCTTACCTTCTACTTCAGCTCCCTAACTTACCTTAAGTTCTCTGAACACAACACTCCAAGAGGAATTCCACAGTCCTAGTTCAGATTAAATCTTCTCTGGGTCCTCCCATCATATCCCCTGTGTTCTCTTATTCCCACTCAATCCCTCAGCAAGTCCAGTAGGTTCACCTTCACTGCATATCAAACCTTTCGCATCTTTTTATCTTCTTTATTCTTACTCTAATCTAAGCCCACATGTGAACTAAAGCAGTCTTTTGTATCCTGTAGCTCCCCAGGACTGGGGGAAGGATGTAGGGGGACCACAGTGAATTCCCACCAGTTAGAATAAAATTCCCATTTTCTAACCAGCCTGTAGAATCTGGCCCCTTCCTCCTCTGTATCCTCTTTGCGTAATACTCTCCCTCTTGTAGGCCACGTTCCAGCTGCTCTGGCCTTTTTTGTTTCTTGACCACTCCAAGCTCCCTCTTGTCTCTGGGCCTTTGCAACTTGTCCTCGGCCTGGAATACTCTTCTGCAGACGTTTATCTTAGTCACCGTCCTCTTGTCACTTGGGTTGCAGTTCACGAGTCACTTGTTACAGAGAGGTCCTCAGTTTTCCACCCCCCCACTTTACTCTCCAGTGAGTTGCCTTGTTCCATTTTCCATGCATCATTTATCAAGATCTGAAAACCTCTAATTTATTTTTTTGTTTTTACTTAACTTGTCTGTCTCCTACTTCTACTAGAATATAAGCTCCATGATACCAGGGAATCTTGTCACTGTTGTATTTCCAGTGTTCAGAAAAGATACAGACATTTGGCAAGGGCTCCATTGTATTTGATGAATAAATATGTAAATGGATGAAGGCTTTCTGTGTCTAAAATACCACTCCCTAAAAAAAATCTTACTCATCCTTTAAAGGTTATTTCAAATGTCATCTCCACAAGGAAGCCTTTCTTGGTTGCTTCTTTTCGTCCCCTAAATCGTGTGTTTACTGTTAACAATTCTTGCCAGACTTTGCCTTGTGCCTTAATTATTTGGGCCTCAGTGTTAACTCTTCCAATCTGACTTCAAGCTCCTTGAAAACAGGGGTTATGTCTTACCTAGTTTGTATCTCTCATGGGTAGTCTCCACCACAGTGCTCAGCACAGTAAGTTACAAGAGTCACTATTTTATGACTTGAACACAAAGCCTCTCTCATGCAAGAGCTCGTAATTGAAAATGACGTTGACATAAAGGCAACTAAAAGGACTAAATATACTAATAACAGAAAACTAAACTGCTGTCATATCTAAGTAAAAAGCCTGAGTACCACTTTATGAATAAGGGGAGAACAATCTTGATGTTTAGCAAACTGATGCACACACAAGGCTTTCACCTCCGTTGGCCACAAGAAACTATTACAATCATATCTCTCATGAAGGGAAAGAAATTCAAGAGCCACAACCAATGTATATATATAAAGCTTTTAATATCCTCGCATCCTTCAGAGTTTATATTGCTAAATACTTCTTGAGAATGCCTTTAAAATAATCTATAATAGGCATGAGAATCTGCCAGCTTGTTCATCAGCAAGATTTGTTTGTTCAGGGACTCAAACTGAGGAAACGCATTTAAGCCCGGGACTCCCAAACTCTGCTGCACGTTAGAACCACCTGGGGAGCTTTTAAAACTCCTGGCACCCAGATCATATTGCATACCAATAAATTAAGAATTTCTGAAGGTAGGAGCCAGATGTTAGTAGTTTGTAAAGATCCTGAGATGATTCCAATGTGTTGCAAAGTATGTGAATCACAGCATAGGCTAAATTTTTTTATTAGTGAAGCGGCTCTGGTCATTTTCTGTTACGGCCACTAGATGTCGCTATTGCCTGAAAACTGGAGAAGTCATCCAGTACTTTCTGTCAGAGGAGGGGACAGTGGCTTTAATGTTTCCTGATTAGAAAAGAGCAAAGAGAACTTACTTTGTGTTGGCTCATTTTGATAGAACAACACCTTGGAAGAGAGAGTTCGGATAATGAATAATGAAATAGATTAAATGTCTGCTGAATCAAATACTGAAATAGTGAGGCAATTTTTCAACAATTTATCTTCACTGTCTACTCATTTACCTAGGTTCCTTACTATAAAAGCATGAATGCTGGCATTTTGCAGATGGAAAACACAAGGAAAGAAAGGAATTATAAGTGAAGAAGATTGGTTAGTGCGCCTTGAGGTTTTCAGAACTCTGCTCCGTTGCCTTTGGCGAGGCCGTTCTTTCTCTTTCTGTTCCTGGCTGTGGTCTTCTCTTTCAGGCCTGCGCTTACCTTCCTACGTTCCCAGCTACGAAACACATGCTACAGCTGGGGCCTGCTGGCAGAGTTCCCCAGGCACATCATAGGTCTTCTGCAAAGTCATAGAGCATAAGAGGTCTTTCATAAAACATCTGTAGGAATGCTTAGGGAATGTGAGCAAAAAGCTTTGTGAGTTAGGTTTGATAGTGAAAAGTATATGAGTAAAAGACATTATTTTTAAACAGTTTCTGATACAGATTCAATTTAGATTCAAATTAGATTCAATTTAGGGACCTAAAAAGGAAAATTGGGTAGAATGCATTTTGGATAATAGAATTTCATAGTTTCTTCAACCCCTGGGGCTGGAGAAGACTTTGAAGTTATCCAGTTCAGCCCCAGCCATGATGCTTCGGTTTCAACGTCAGCATTCCGTGCCAAGAAGTGGCCTGGGCTTTGATGGGAGCCATCTAAGCCGTACTTAACAGAACAGACAATTCCACCAAACTGTGGTGACTGTTAGCAAGTTATTCCTTATGCGGCCCAAATTTTCCTCCCAGGGGCTCTACCCATACCCATTGGTCTTAGTGCATGCCTCTGCAGCTTCACAGAGAGTCCGTAACCTCTGCCCAAGGGCCTCCAAAAAGATGAGAGCATGGTCTCTTATCCAACATAAGTGGCCTCAG